ATTTTACGGTCATAATTCAAAATTTTTATATGTCACAATTTGTTCATCGATCACAAATCAGAAATTTTATAAGTCACAAATCAAAAAATTTATAAGTCACAAATTATTTTACGATCACAGTTCAAAAATTTTATAGGTCACAATTTGTTCATGGTTCACAAATAAAAAATTTATAGGTCACAGTTTATTTATCGATCACAAATCACAAGTATTATAAGTCACAACTTATTAGATAGTCACAAATTATTAAATTATCGGTAACATATTAACAATTTTTTAGGTTACACATTATTTTTTCGTCACAAATTATCGAATTTTAAGGTCACATTTTAATAGTTAGTTAGAATGAACCAAATAATTGATCACATACACCAAAACACCCCTCCCTATCCCGATCCACCATTAATATTTGGTCACAAACCAACCTAATAATTGGTCACATACACTATCCAATCACCACCACTAGCACAACTGCACCACAACACCACCACCAACAAATCCACCATCACTAGATCAAATACACTTCTAACAAAAATCATCACAACCGTCCCTGCCATTGCCTCCACCAGCCACCACAAAAAAAAAAAAAAAAGGTAAACAACTGCGAAAGGATGTGCTTTTGTGCTAGGGGAAAAAAACAGAGAGAATTATCAATAATTGGGGCATTCATTATGAGTTTTGTGTAAAAAATGCTTCGAGGTTTAAGGATGAAGGAATTGAAACCATGGGAGAGAAGCGCAGAGAGAATCTGTGTATATGCGTGCTGCTTTACGATGTTTTTCACAAAAAGGTTCACCAAAAAATAGGAAAATTTGGAAAGAAATTAATTCCTCTCTATATACATACAAATACATATTTAGAAATCCAAACCAACCCAAACTCAAATCTATGCCAAATTCCAATCCAAACCCATAAAAATCTAACCAACATTCGAACTAAAACCCAAAGTGGCGATCTGAGCCATTGAACGCTGCTGTGCACCACAGTCCGCGCGGTAGCAACGATCGGCATTGTGCACGACGACACTCAGTTTAAGAAGAGAGAGTGAGAAGAGAGAAGATGGAGAGAAGAGAGAATGAGGAGGAAAATTCTAGGGTTTGCCCATTTTGGATGAAATTGATTAAGGTTGGGGATAAAATTGTATAATTAATATTTAATATTTAAAAATGAAATATCAGATTTTGGAAAGATGAAACTTGAGATCTGATTTTGGATATGGA